GTGCATAGAGAGAACTCAACTAGACTAGCTTCCTTAAAAAGAATTCAGAAACTTTGAAAATAGTCTCTTCGAGGTATCGAGCTTTCAAAAAATGCATGTTGGACTAGGGGTCTGCAAAGTGGTCCCGGGATGGAGACCGAGACTGAAATTTTTGGTTGGTGCCGATCTTTTTTTATTTCGCACTAAACTACGCATTTTCATGTTTATTTTCGTCTTGTGACTTAGAAAGTCCAGAAATCATCTATTTTTATTTACAATTTCGATAATTTTTCCATGTATCTTGATTCTGATTTCAAGAATCGATACTATTATGAAGCCTTGTCCAGGTTCTTGAATTGATAAATTGATATGCAATATACATGAATTCGGTTCAATAGCAATTTAATTGCTCTTTGGATTGTAATATTATTGTCGTTGCTCGCCTAAATTTCTATGTTAGACACAGGATCCATGTAAAAATATCCATCTCTTGAAAGTCTCATATCTCGAATAAACTTTTTTCAAAACTTCTGATTTTTTTTGTTGTGAAGCTAGTCTAGTTGAGATCTCTAGATGCACACAATTTCGGATCAAAATTCGAACATACGAGTTTTTCAAAAACTTGGAGTCTCTAGAGAGTAGACATATGTAAATTTCAATAGCTTACTCAAATACTGATAGAAATCCATATCATTGTAGTGTTTTCATTAGAATATGATGAAGTATCTTAAGGCAAAAAATCATTAAGATTCGAAGGGAACATTTGAAGAGGTTCCATCGTAAGTGATGCAGAAGTCTACCAATTTAAATTTTGACAACTATTTAAAGACTTACGAGGAGAAACCTTTCTAAGTTTCAAAGCAATGATGCATCATGCAGAATCTAATGAGCTATGGATATCGTGAAAAGAATTCAGGCTAATAACTTATTACTACCAAAGTATGAAATGTTTTAACAGTATGTTGTGAACTCCTTAGAAATACTAGGAAGCTGAGTTTCAAATTTCATCTTGAAACTTCGCATGATGATATGTCTTAATGAAAATAGTTTACTAAAAAAATTTTAGATTTTTGATTGCTTCTATCGTATGATAAATCGACAGTAAAAACATGTTTTTCATGTCGCTCATATACAATGGTTCATTCCGATATTCTTATTTCAAAAAATAGGCGCGACCAAAAAATCTGAAACTCATAATAAGCTATTATTGTTAAGATGTGTCTTTGTGCAGTTTCCAGTCGAAGTTCGAAACTCAGTTTTCCTGGTGTTTCTAAGTGGGACTATGGAATTTTTCTCGCGAAGATGCCGAAAAAATACAGCACCTAGGCAGTAATAAGCTATTAGGCAGAATTCTTTTCAAGATATTCATGGCTCATTAGATTCTACATGGTGCAGCATCGATTTGATGCTTGGAAAAGTTTCTTTGATCTTTGAACAATTGAATTTAATTGATACTACTTTCAAAGCAGAGTTTATTTCTTGTCGAAATTTTTTATTACAACATAAAACTTGGTTGTAACAAGCGAACATATCTTTTCTTGAACGTTTATTTAATCACTAAAGTCGTGTAAAGTAGCACTTAAAATTAAGTCTGATACGTTAAGATTTACTCATAAATGAATCTTTTATCAATCTGTCTTGAAAAGTCTAGGCAAGGTTACAATACCTCTTGAAACTAAATGACAAGGATTATTTTCCATTTTTTCTACCGTCATAAGTCCTAATAAGAATCTAAATAGTGACCTGTACAACAAATTTTAGTTCAAACAAGAATTATCAAAGATGAAAACAATTACTAATTCTTTTCAGAATAGATTTTCTGAGACAGCAAAAAACTTAAGTTTTCTATCGTCTGAAATTCACAAGATGAATACTGTTTGAATATTCAAGAATAATACAGCAAACAATCAAACGTCATCGAACTTTCTACGACGATATTTCGACCGAGATACGTCAACTTCACAGAAGAGATAACGGTTGTTTCCATCAGAAATAGCAGAAAAAAAAATGATATTTGTGCCTTCTCTAAGATTGATCAGTTTCGGTCGAAAAAACGTCGTCGATAACAAGAAGATATTTCATTGTTTGCTCTATTCTTCTAGATAGTTCAACTAGGACGCTACTCGAAAAGTTCAGGAGATGATAAATTTAGGTTTTGGATTTTTCACAGACCGCATTTTTGACAAACTCACAATCACTTTCATGTTCGAAAATTCTTATCGAAAATTAAATTTCTTATATAAGTCACTGTTTGTATTCTTATTAGAATTCACGAAAATGGAAAAATATTGAAAATAAACCTTATTGAATAATTTTAAGAACCATATTATATGGTCTGATATTATCTTTGCATATGTACTTTCAAGATCTTTTATGTATATATTGTCAGTCATTCTAACTCAAAACATTTTATATCCTAAATATTTATTGAGTACTCTTAAAATCTATTATCAATTAATCATATGTTGAAAAGAACAAAGTTAAATCGTTTCCATAATGAATCGATCTATTTATTTTCTCTTTTTTTTTCAAGGCGTGTGAAATACTTGTACGTACAATTCTCTATCGTCTTCGTCAAACATGTTCACAAGCAAATATATATATAAATCTTTTATCATTACTTTTAAATTTATGTGAATCTCGAAATGGAACTGATAGACCTGTATGTACATATCTTGTGACATTAAGTGATTGGTTACCACAAGTAGCATTACATGATGGAAAAAGTTTACAACGAATGACACTTTTATCACCAATTTTTTATATATCATGTTTTGCTGAAGATGATATTGATTTACTTGTAACTCAACTTGAAAAAATAAATGAACAAGAACAAGATGATGATGTAAATATATTAATTCTTTTTTTTTTTCTAAAAATAATGTAATATTTTCTTTTCACTTAATATCTTTTAAAGAATACTCAAGATTTTTCTGAATATAAAGAAAAACAAATTCGGTCAACAATACAAAGTCAGTTATATACAGCACGTAAATTGATGCATAAAATAGTACTTGCTTTTTTTTCAAACATATCATCACGTAATGCAATGTTGGATTATTTACAAAAATTCATACAATTAAATATTAAACGTACTCATCTTACTGTAAGTAAATATTAACAAATCAAAAGAATAAATTATTAATTATATTTATGATTCTGAAATTTACATATATATTTTTGAAAAGAATATAGTGAGTGGAAAATTAAATTGAGGATTCTGCGGGTTCTCTTCAGACCCCTAAAGAATCTTGAGAAGTGCCAAAATTGCTGTTTTTCAAATCGAAATCGGACGCAAATCGTTTAGTCACTTCGATCTTTTACTTGAACACGAATATAAATTCTGAGACTGAAACTAAATCTGAATGCTGCACGTAAGTTCGAGTGCAGTACATACCTAGATGTCGATCAGTTGATCTTTGATTTTTCAACTGACTCCTAAATTAAATTTTTGAAAGAACGATTCATGGATTGACAAAGATTACAATTAATATCAATTTAACACGGTATATTAATAACTAAAGATCTTTAATTCTTCAACCCCTATTATTTATTCATTTGATTTTATTCTTTTTTGTTTGCATTGAAAAATTTTTTTCTTATATATTTTTTAAATGTATAAGAATGATAGACTTGTATATTCGAATAATCATCTAGTTTCTTAATTATTTCCTATCAATTACATCTGCTTGATTTTAACTAAATATTAATGAGAAAAATGATTTGAATAATTTTATCAGTAGACATCGAATATTGATGATTTACCTGTGGTTGCTCTTGAGTTTTGTTAATTATACTGTGATTTGTAATTTTCAATTTTTGATTGGAAACAAACATAGTATAACTAATCGAAAATACTAAATGAATTAACAGTCCTATAAAAGAAATCAACAGCTCATTAGTGTTCTATGAATTGATTTATTGGTAGACTTATTTTTATAATGCTGAAAGACATAAAATATTTTCATTTAAGCAAATCATCAATATTCATAGATTATACTCATATCAAGTTATGATACTGTTCTTATTATAAATGCTTACCTTAGATAAAATAAATATGATATAAAGTAACAAGGCTATTGAGAAGGACTTTCTTTGGATAGTGTTATATTTTCTAAAAAAAAAAGATTTATTTTATGTTAAACAATTTACAAAGAGATTTATTATAGACAAAATTTTTGATATTTGAATTAAATTTTCAATGATTGAATAATCTCAGAAAATTCTCTATTATCATCTAAAATGTTTTTATTTATATTTGTGAAGGTTGACGAAAGTCAAGTTACTGGTGATGGTTTTATGCTTAATCTTACATTTGTTCTTCAACAACTTGCTTTACCAATTGATATAGAACGAGTAAAATAAAAATTTTTTACAATTAATTTTCATTTCAGTAATATTCTTTTCTTATAAAGGTTGATTTAAATTATCCATACTATGAAGATGATCGTTTATCAATACCTAAAGATCAATCTCGATTATATTCAACTCAAGATGAATTTAAAACATATCAAGAAAATATTCGTTCGTAACATTATTTTATTCAATATTTGTTTTAAAATATTGCATTTCTCTTTTTTTTTTCGTTTAGAAAAACCTCCTGAAATACGATTTCCAACTGAATGTGTTTATCTTACATTACATATTAGTCATTTGGGTCTTGTTTCAACTGCTAAAAAGCCACAACGACGAAATAATATTATTCGAGAATTGAATAGGTATCAAAAGCAAAGTCTTGAAAATTTTTTTTAATCTTTTTATTTGAATGAAAAAAAAACATAATAAATAAGAATGAAAAATTTATAAATTAATGTTTTTTGTATTCTAGTGCGATAAAGAATCTAGAACAAACGCAAGGAACATGGCGACAAACTTCAATGGCTGCTCGACATGAAGCGCAACTTGAGAGACTCAAAGCTGAATTAAAAGTAAGAAAATAAATAAAAATAAAAATAGAAAAAAGATAATTGTCAATGATTATTTGATATACAGAAGATAAAAAGACAGTAAATAGTTTTTTTTTAATTGACGGCTGTAAGTGGCATCAAATTAGGATCATCTTCGCCAGATGAATAAACAGGAAAATCAACAACACGTAATTGTTCATTATAATTGCCTAAATGAAAAAGTTTAGTCAATAGAAAATAAGAATTAATTTTTTTTTGTACCTGAAATATATGTTCCGCCACCTTCCATTAGAGTATCTCCATGTCGAATATTGATTCTTGTTCCTAATTGATCAATAACCGAACCATAATCAATATATGATTCTTGTTGTTGTTGTTGTTCGTCTAAATAGAAAAAGAAACAATTCAGAAAAAAACATACTATCATTGGATAATAAAATATAAATTAACCTTCGATTTGTCTGTAAACAATTTTTTTGACGAGTGTTCGTCCTGGAGCACAACAACATTTGACACAAACTCGTTGAGGTGGTGGAGGAGGTGGTGGTGGTGGTGGTAGCGGTGGCTTAACAACAATTATTTGTGGTGGTGGTGGCGGTGGTGGTTTAACAAGAATGACTTGTGGTGGTGGTGGTGGTGGTGGCGGTGGTTGTTTAACAACAATTACTTGTGGTCGTGGTGGTGGTGGTGGTGGTGGTGGTTTAACAAAAATTACTCGTGGTGGTGCCGGTGGTGGTGGTGGTGGTGGTGGAAGATAGGTTATTGGTGGTGGTGGCGGTGGTGGAAGATAGGTTATTGGTGGTGGTGGTGGTGGTGGAAGATAGGTTATTGGTGGTGGCGGTGGTGGTGGTGGAAGATAGGTTATTGGTGGTGGTGGTGGTGGAGGTGGAAGAAGAGTTACTGGTGGTGGTGGTGGTGGTGGAAGAACACTTACTGGTGGTAGCTCAACACAGAATAATTCTGGTCGAAGGTGTGGTGGTAAATGAGCATATTTAAGTGCTTGTGGACAAGGTACTAAACAGAGACCAGTTTTAGGATCAACACGAGGTGTACAACCATAACATGGGCCATCTGCTATGTATCCACGACCATTATCAATTAAACGAAACGGTGGTATACCAGCTTGTGTTGGTCGTCGATAAACCATTGGTATTGACGTAGGTCTTTGCGGATAATGTTGAAATATTTGTGACGATGATTGTTGTAAAGGTGGGATTGCAGTGATCGAATCTTGTTGTATTGATGCGGGCTCCGAATGTGTACGATGTCGTTGCTGTTGCTCTTCGTATTTATCTAAAGGTATGTTTTGATAATGTCGCGGTTGAGCTGTTATTTGTGAAGGAAAATCATAATTTGGTTGGTAAAAATTATCGTCGAAGGACAAATGAGGAGGGTAAGGTAATGGATGATTGTATATTGATTGCTGTTGTTGTTGTTGTTGTGGCTGTATTTGTGGTTGCTTATGTTCTGTGTATTTGTAAAACGATAAAGGTAAAGATTGTGGTATTGTGGGGATCACATGACGTGTTTGAGTAATTAATGGGGGGCTATATTCGATTGTTTGTTGTCCTCTTGTGTCAGTAGAAAAATCTTTTATTGGTAATTGAGATAAATAGGGTTTTGTATCAAAAATTGCTGGTGTTTGATCATATGTATGTTGTAGAATATTAGATTGTGTTGTTAAATCGTGAGGTGCTGTTTGTGTCCAAACATCAGCACAATGTATTTCACGTTTGCCAGGATATTGTTGTGGTAGTTGTTGATGATCATAATTAGTAAATGATATGTCATTTGATTGTGGTATTAGTTGTTGATCATTTTGAGATATCACAGTTGTTATTGGTTGTTGAGGTACTATTTGTGGATATTGATCAAATTCTTGTTGATTTATTACATTTGCATCATATAATGGATGTTGTAAATCAGTAATTTGTTTTTGTTGTGGTTGTTTTTGTTTTTGTTTTTGTTTATTCCATAAATCTTGATATTTTGCATAACAATCAAAAATACATCGACGTAAATTAAAAGGTTCTTCATTTCCTGTAATGTTTACATCAGTTCCGTGACCTCCACAAGGAATACATGTGGATAGTAATGGTTGATAAGTATAAATACTTGTTTGATCAGTTGACGGAATGATTGACCTGAATGAGCGACTTGGTCGTTGTTGTATTATATCATATGCACGACGATCAAGTGTTGGTGGTGGAGGAAAATCAGATAAATTTGTTGAAATTGATTCTTGTTGACGATCGATTTCTTCTGACACCGGTGGCGGTGGTAATGAACTAAATGTATCATATATAGAAGTTTCGATATCACTCCTTGGTTCTAGTTTTTGAAATATTTCAGTTACTGGTTTTCTTGTAGAAGTTTTTTGAAGAAGACCTGGTTGCCCTTCTTCGTATAATAATGACGAAATCGGTGGTGATGATTGCAATGTGTCTGAGACAAGAGATTGATTTGTATAATTTTGAAGATCATACGTTTGTTTAGATTTTTGTAATGGATGTATATCCACATTTTGTTGAATAGTAAAAGGAATGTTCGTTTTCATAGGATAATATTGCAAATCGTCAGAGGACCTAAACGGTCCTCCACTTTGTTGTGGATATAATTTTGATTCAAATTGTTTGACATAATCGTTGACACTTAATGAGCCGATCTTTTGTGGTTGTTCGTATTGTTGAATAAAAGTTTCCGTTGAATAATTATCTGACAAAGGTCCTTGAGAACGATCTGATTGTGCCGCATATTCTATTCTATCGCTTGGAATCAATCTATCAGTTAATCGTTGATCGTGTAATCCTGAATCGTAAATTCGAGAGCCAGGAAATGATACTGGCTGCTCTTGGTATTGAAGAGAAGAACTCAATGCTTGATTTGAATCGTCAGTTGTATGTATCTGATCCTTCTGTTGGATGTCAATTCTGGGTACTATATAAGATGTAGCAGCATCAGGTAAATATTTGTAAGAGTCATCCTGCTGAGCTTGTCGAACTTGAACACCTTCTTCAAGACTGTGTGCATATTGAGCCGGATGCTTTTCTGCATCTTGATACTCGTAAACAGGTTTCTGAGGTTGATAACTTTCCTGAGTATATTTCACTAATCCCGTTGGTTGAGTATAAATTTCTGTCATTTGTGATGCAGGAACTGGTATGGGTTGTTGTTCAGAATAACTCAAAGATGTAGGTACTATAGGAACATGATCAATTATTTGTTGTTGTTGTTCTAACTGTTGAAGATCAGTTCTAGGTGCTACATAAGATGTAGCCACATGAGGTATATATTTGTAAGAGTCTTGTTGCTGAGTTTGTCCGAGTTCAACACCTCCTTCGAGATTATATAAATATTGAGAGGATTGCTGTTCTGCTCTTGGAAAATCATACGTTGCTTTTTGCGATTCATAAAGTTCTCTTGTGTATCCTGATGCTCCAGCTGGTTGAGTATAATTTTCTATGATTTGAGATGTAGGAACTGGTATGGGTCTTTGTTCGTAGTAGCTTAAAGATGTACGTACTACAGGAACATGATCAATTAATTGCTGTTGTTCCGTTTGTTGAATATTACCTCCAGATGTCAAATAAGTTCTTGCAACTTCTGATATATATTTAGTCACTTCTGGTTGTGTAGGTTGCTGTTGTTGAATACCTTGGGTATTGTATAAGTATGGAGAGGATTGTTGGTCTGTACCTTGATATCCATAAATTGGTTTTTGTGACTCATAAATTCCTTTTGTATATCCTAATGTTCCAGTTGGTTGAGTGTAAGTGTCTGTAATTTGAGATATAGGAACTTGTATGGGTCGTTGTTCATAGGAACTCACAGATGTACGTGCTATAGGAACATGATCAATTATTTCTTGTTGTTGTATCTGTTGAATATCAGTTTCAGGTGCTACGTGGGAAGTAGTAAGGTCAGATGCATATTTGTAAGAGTCTTCTTGCTGAGCTTGTCGAACTTGAGCACCTTCTTCAAGACTGCATGCATATTGAGATAAATGCTGGTCTGGACCTTGATACTCGTAAACAGATTTCTGAGGTTGATAACTTTCCTTGGTATATTCCACTAATCCACCTGGTTGAGTATAAGTTTCTATCATTTTAGATGTAGGAGCTGGTATTGGTTGTTGTTCGGAATAACCTAAAGATGTAGGTACCACAGGAACATGGCCAGTTATTTGCTGTTGTTCCGTCTGTTGAATATTACCTCCAGATGTCAAATAAGCTCTTGCAACTTCTGATATATATTTAGTCGCTTCTGGTTGTGTAGGTTGCTGTTGTTGAATACCTTGGGTATTGTATAAATATTGAGAGGATTGTTGGTCTGTACCTAGATATCCATAAATTGGTTTTTGTGACTCATAAATTCCTTTTGTATATCCTAATGTTCCAGTTGGTTGAGTGTAAGTGTCTGTAATTTGAGATATAGGAACTTGTATGGGTCGTTGTTCATAGTAACTCACAGATGTACGTGGTATAGGAACATGATCAATTATTTGTGGTTGTTGTAGCTGTTGAATATCGGTTCCACGTGCTACGTGGGATGTAGTAAGGTCAGATGCATATTTGTAAGAGTCTTCTTGCTGAGCTTGTCGAACTTGAGCACCTTCTTCAAGACTGCATGCATATTGAGATGAATGCTGGTCTGGACCTTGATACTCGTAAACAGGTTTCTGAGGGTGATAACTTTCCTTGGTATATTCCACTAATCCAGCTGGTTGAGTATAAGTTTCTATGATTTTAGATGTAGGAGCTGGTATGGGTTGTTGTTCGTAGTAGCTTAAAGATGTGCGTACTACAGGAACATGATCAATTAATTGCTGTTGTTCCGTTTGTTGAATATTACCTCCAGATGTCAAATAAGCTCTTGCAACTTCTGATATATATTTAGTCGCTTCTGGTTGTGTAGATTGCTGTTGTTGAATACCTTGGATATTGTATAAGTATTGAGAGGATTGTTGGTCTGTACCTTGATATCCACCAATAGGTTTTTGCAACTCATAAATTCCTTTTGTATATCCTAATGTTCCGGTTGGTTGAGTATAAGTTTCTGTAATTTGAGATATAGGAACTTGTATGGGTCGTTGTTCATAGGAACTCACAGATGTACGTGGTATAGGAACATGATCAATTATTTGTTGTTGTTGTTGTATCTGTTTAATATCAGTTCTGGGTGCTACATAAGATGTAGCAACGTCAGATACATATTTGTCAGAGTCTTGTTGCTGACTTTGTGCAAGTTGAACACCTCCTTGGAGATTATATAAATATTGAGATGATGGCTGTTCTGCCCTTCGAAAATCATGAATCGGTTTTTGCGTTTCATAAGTTTGTTGTGTGTATCCTAATGTTCCAACTGGTTGAGTATAAGTTTCTGTGATTTGAGATGCAGAAACTTGTATGGGTGGTTGTTCATAGTAACTTAAAGAGGTAGATGCTATAGGAACATGATCAATTATTTGTTGGTGTTGTTGTATCTGTTTAATATCAGTTCCGGGTGCTACATAAGATGTAGCAACGTCAGATACATATTTGTTAGAGTCTTGTTGCTGAATTTGTCCAAGTTGAACACCTCCTTCGAGATTATATAAATATTGAGATGATGGCTGTTCTGCACTTCGATAATCATAAATTGGTTTTTGTGACTGATGAACTTCTCTTGTGTATCCTAACATTTGAGTTGGTTGAGTATAAGTGTCTATAATTTGCGATGTAGGAACTGGTATGGGTCGTTGTTCGTAGTAACTTAAAGACGTAGGTGCTATAGGAATACGATCACTTATTTGTCTTTGTTGTAACTGTTGAATATCAGTTCCTCGTGCAAGATAAGCTTTAGTAACTTTTGATATATATTGAGCTGCTTCTTGTTGTGTAGGCTGCTGCTGTTGAGTACCTTCAAGATTATATGAATATTGAGAAGTCTGTTGTTCTGGACTTTGATAATCATAGATGGGTTGCTGGGATTGATAATCTTGTCGAATATATTCAAATTTTCCAGTTCCTCCGCCGTAAGCTTCGTGAACTCGAGATATTGGAACTGGTATTTGCTGTTGTTCGTAGTACTGAGAAGATACACTTGCCTGACCCAAATGATCGATTGTCTGTTTTTGTTCGATCTGTCGAATATCACCTATAGGTTGTATATAGGTAGTTGTAGCTGCTGTTGTGTAATCGACGGATTTTTGTTGTTGAGGTTGTTGTGAACTAATACCAAGATTGTATGAATAATCAGAAGTTTTCTGTTCACCACTTGTGTAATGATAAATGGGTTGTTGAGATTGATAACTATCTCTTGTGTATTCAAAGGTTCCGGTTGCTTGCCCATAACCTCCTTGAGCTTGAGCAATAGGAACTGATATTGGCTGTTGTTCATAGTAAGTAGAAGATGTACGTGCTTGTTTTAAATGATCGATTGTTTGAATCTGTTCGGTTTGCTGAATATCAGCTGCTGGTCTTTCAAGATTGTATGCATATTGAGTTGATTGTTGTTGTGCACGTCTAGAATCAAAGATTGGTTTCTCTGATTGATAACTTTCTCTCGTATATTCAAATGTTCCAGTTGGTTGACCATAACCTCCTTGAACTTGAGATGTGAGAACTGGTATTTGCTGTTGTTCATAGTAAGTAGAAGATGTACTTGCCTGAGTCAAATGATCAATTGTTTGTTTTTGTTCTGTCTGTCGAATATCACCTGTTGGTTCTGTATATATAGTTGTGGCTGCTGTTGTGTAGTCAAAGGATTTCTGTTGTTGAGGTTGTTGTTGTAGAATAGTATCAAGATTGTATGAATATCTAGAAGGTTGCTGTTCTCCAGTTGTATAATGATAGATTGGTTGTTGAGATTGATAACTTTCTCTTGTATATTCTAATGTTCCGGTTGTTTGTCCGTAATCTCCTTGAGCTTGAGGTATTGGTGGTTGTTCGTAATACGTAGAAGTTGTACTTTCTTGACTCAAATGATCGATCGTCTGTTTCTGTTCGGTTTGCTGAATATGAGTTGTTGGTGTTTCAAGATTATATGGATATTGAGTTGATTGTTGTTGTGCACGTCTAGAATCACAGATTGGTGCTTGTAATTGATAACTTTCTCTCGTATATTCAAATGTTCCAGTAGGTTGACCATAACCTTCTTGAGCTTGAGATATAGGGACTGGTATTTGCTGTTGTTCATGATAAATTGAAGATGTAGGTTGTTGACTCAATTGATCAATTGTTTGTGTTCGTTGTATTTGTTGAATATCTGTTCTTACTGGAAAAGAAGTAGCTGGTGTTGTCGTTGTATAGTCAATGGATCGTTTTTGTTCAAGAGTGTCTATGTTATATGGATACTGAGATGTTGTTTGTTCTACAGCCGGATATTCATAAAGGGGATGTTGAGATTGTGTACTTGTTGTTGTATATTCAAATGTTGTTGTCGGTTGACCATAAGTTCCTTGAGTTTGAATATGTTGAGTTGGTACTTGTTGATAATATTCAGACGTTAACTGTTGTATTCCACTTGGAACTATAGCATCTGTTGATTGAAAAGTAGAATGTGGCAGTTGACTTGAATATTCAAAAGATCTTTGCTGTTGGCTTTGTTCTATTAATGACTGTTGAATCAAATCAGTAGTAGAAGGTACTGATTGCTGGGATGTATAATCGAATACGTTGGAATGAATATATGGTTCTTGTATATTTTGTTTTGTGAAGTGATAATAGTCTGTTGTTGTAGGCTGTATATTAGTTGATACTCCAGCATCAATATTTGAAGTTAATAATGATGAATATGGTACTTGATTTGTATAGGTATTAACAATATCAGATGTTTGATATTGTTGTATATCAGTTGGCAAAGAAGTTGTTTGAACTACATTTGTGTAATCATGTGTTGTAATTGGAATATATGGCGTTTGAGGTGTATGAACCGATGTGAAAATATTTGTTGGTTGAGTTACTACGTCTGAGTAATATGAAGTTGACAGTGGTTGTTGCCGTTGCGTTTGTTGAACAGAGCCAAATGAAGGAGTTGTTGGTTGAATAGGAAAATTTGGATACTGATTAGTATAATACAAATGTCGATATTGCTGTTGTTGCGGAGATCGTCTAAGACGTCTTGCTTTTCGTGCTTGTCGAGCAGCTCGTCGTCGAGCTACTCTTTGACGATGAGCTTCAAAACATCGTAATATACAATTTTCGATATCGAATGTTACTTCTTGTCGCGGATGCACAGGTCTTGGGAACATATTGTCAGTTCTACCAAGTTGCTCGCTGTTGATATTATTAGATGATATAAGTAATGCCTCCTCGTTACCTTGTTGCTGTTCTTCAAGATTGTAAAGTAATGAAGAAGAATGGGAAGGTGAGGCGTGACGATCAAATGATGTAGTGGATAAGCCTTGAAAATCAAATGCACTATGAACCTTATCATTGATATTGTCGTCATTGAGCGCAGGTGACTGGGCTTCATTATACAATCGTTCTTCTTTTTCCTTTCTATGCTCATCGCCTGTCGTCGTCGTCTTATATTCATCACTGAACAAAAATCAATGATAATTTCGAAAAGATTCATAAGTAAAACAGAAAAAAAAAAGAGGAAAAGCTTTGCTTCAGATTTTATCGTCGTTATCAAGGTTTTCTTTATAGCGTAAGTGTATGTGTGTAGACTCATAATTTATTTGTATGTGTAAAATTATGACAGTGAAGGATATAGCATGATAGCAAATATATTTGTGTATATAGCAGCGAAAAAAAATTATTTTTTTTTAAGAGGGAAAGATAGAGAAAGAGAAAGAGAAAGAGAAAGAGAAAGAGAAAGAGAAAGAAAAAGAAAAAGAAAAAGAAAAAGAAAAAGAAAAAAAAAAGTAGTTTGTTGAATGTGGTTCAGCACAGTGTTTAAATGTGATCATCGAATGTCTATTTGTGTGCACGTGAATATGTGTGTATGTGTGCATTTGCATGTGCAAGACTACCTGTTTGCGTAAAACACATTTTGATAGTCTCCGTAACATTCTTGAAAGAAAAATGAAAAGAATGTTAAACAGTAGATTTTTTTTTATCAAATTTCATACCTGGTGGAATATATTGTTGCGCAGGAGCTGGAAATCTAGGTCCTTGAAACAAATTTTGTTGAAATGTGCCTGCTGGCTGACCGTAGATAACTGGTATGATAAACAATTATATGTACTCTAAGATTTGAATCATGTGTCTGTTGTTTTACTTACCCGGCGGACGAACACGATTGCCAAGTTCAGCACGAAGACGATGAAGGTCGGATCTAAGAATTATTGTCGGTTGTGGTGCATGAAGATAAATTGGAGCAAGAGGTTCTAAGATATGATTGATATATTTTTTTTATGCATTTGAGAAAAAAAAACTTCGTACCTAAATAATCACCACTTAATGCTTCACCATGATATTGTTGTAAGGTTTCATCTATAACTTTTCTTTGAAGATCCACAATTACATCATTAACAACAGCTTGTGAAACAGAGAGTCCTTGAATTTGTGATGGATGACTTGGAATACCTGACAGAAATTGAGGAGGACCAGATGGCTGTACCGGTCTTTGTTGCTGTTGTTGTTGTTGTTGTTGTGCCATTGAAGGTACTCCTTCTACGGGTTGTGGTAATCGTTGTACTGCAGTAGGTACAGATGCAGGTGTATAAGAACCAGCATTAACAATATTAGTATTTGCACTAGTTGCAGTATTCAGTGTAGATGCTAATTGTGCCTGACCTTCGGCTTGTTGCTGATGCCTACGAAGAAAAATTGCGTGAATAAAGTAACTGAGTGGAGCAAATGAATTTCGAAATAAAAAAGCAGAAAGGACACCTATACATGTAAATGTGAAGACGAGCAAAAAAAAGATGCCGTCAATTTCTTCATTTTATGGACAGTTTAACCCTGAAAAAAATGGTCCATTAACAAAGTTTTCTTTTTTTCTTGCCTCATATTATATTTCTTTCAATCGGAGGAATATAGTTGTACTCATCAGAGTAGGACGACATAAATCAATATTGAACACCTTTCAAGCAATCAGTTATGTCCATTCTAATGTTGAATATGTTACGCAAGATGTACTGCTCATTAGAGAGGGAAAAACGTGAACGAATCAATCAATCTGACATATTTGCTATTTAACATTTTAATATGGTCGAAGCTATTCTTACTCTACCTGATTGGTAATAAACTAGGTGTTGGAGGTTCAGGAAAATATTTAGACATTTCAACTGCTGAATCCATACTTGAAATAGAATGAAATGAATTAGTTGTTTGCACACCACCTAATGTTTCAGTTGCTGGTGTATTGAATGCTGCTTTTGAAATCGATGCACTCGATTGAGTCGTACTCAGATCTTGTTGATGTTCTGTGAAATATGTACTATTAGAATTGATTGGACCTTCAGCTAAAATATAAACAGACATTTAAAGGCATGTCGGATTGTTTTGTCATGTTTTGAATGAAAAAAAAGTAAATTAAAATGCCTTGATTTATATCACTAAATCGTTAAAAAAATCTAATTGCAAAAATTAAGTAAACTGTGTAATTAGCGAATAATTAAAATTTTACATACTCGATAATGTATATTGAAATCCTTGGTTTTGACCCTGTTCATTAAATTGAAGTCCGGCCATGGTTAAAATTTTTGATAAAATATTATTTTAATATTGTTTTGTTATCCTATTGTGTAACCTCTAAATTATGTTCATCAGCAGTAAAGAAAAGACAAATGTTTGTCCGCCGTCGTGCGTGTCAAATGAAATAAAGTGATTGTGGTTTATGTCTCTTAAATGAAACTATGTAAGAATGATTGTCCGTTACACTTTGGTGGTTTTGTCGCACGTTGTCTACTCCTCTTACTACTTGTTATTGTTTTTATCTCTTATTTTTATCATCAGCATATACATTAATCGAATAACTTGTCATTATCATGACCAAGGAAAAGTAATAGTTGATATTTGTTTGTTTTTTAGGCATTGAAACGAGCAAAACAATGCACTAGTATAGCATTACAAGATGAAAATTTAATAGAAACAAGTTTAGAATTTTATGGAAAAGTTTCACAATTACTCTTACGATATGTTGGCATTCGACCAACAGAGTAAGTTTTATTTTATATAGATTATTCTTTTTATCATCGAGCAAGATATTTATTTTTAATTTTTAATTAAGATCAAAAATTAATTTTTCTTCTGAAGCACCATGGATATGGCGTTTATTACCAGATTATTATATTGATGATATATGGGATTTTCTTATGTCAGCTGCTATGTATGTAAGGTTTATATGTTGAAATGAATACATATTCTATTGTTTTAGGATGGTACCTCAAACATTAGCAAAGCGTAACATTGATGATATTTTGACATTGATGCTTTTTGTCATTTGTGCACCACGTCATTATATACAAAACCCTCATTTAATTGCAAAAGCGGTTGAAGTTATACATTGGTTATGTGCAAGAAGCGAACATACATTATTACGGCAGGCAACTGAATATTTATTTAATCATCAATTGGCACAAGATTCACTTGTACGTGCATTAACAAAACTTTATGCTGGTACAGGAAAAAAAATAATCATTTATTTTTTATTAATTGATAACTTCGCTTTTTTTTGAATATATTCGTCACTATAGATGTTGAAACAACAGGTGCTGCTACAGAATTCTATGATAAATTTAATATTCGCTATCATATAAGTATTATATTTAAATATGCTTGGCAAAAAACATCATTTCGTCATTCATTTTTAACAACAGCTAGGTAATATATAAAAATAAGTGTTAATAATTTCATTTTTATAAATATTTTGTCAAGAGATGAAAAAGAATTTGTACGTTTTTTAAATATGGCAATTAATGATGTTACATATTTACTTGATGAAAGTCTTCAATTATTAAAAAAAATTCATGATATTGAAACAGATATTGATAATAAAGAAGAATGGGAAGCAACTCCAATGGTATGAATAACAAAATTAAAAAAGAAATTTCTTTGTTTTTTTTATTAACCCTTAAAAGTCGGAGTAAATTTTTTTGACGATAAGAAAATATAGGTTGATCAAAACAGAGATTCTTGACATTCAGTATGATTATATTGTGGTTAAAGAAAAATAATTTTTTTTTTTCTTATAAAGATTCAACATGTTTCTTGAAAGGGACGTCCGATCTTAGCAGACATGAACGTATCACTTTTTTTAATTTATGTGAAAAATTTTTTTCTAACCAAATACTTCTATTTATTTATTTCATATAACAGTAAGAACCAATTGAATAAAATTTTTGAAACTTGTTAATACCTTTGTACTTTTCGTTTCATTATAACGCTACCCTATGAGCTCAAGTACATGTTGCAAAATCAATCGTATGAAAGACAAAAAGGATCAATTCATTGACGAAGTAGCTACTGAATACTGTCTAGGAGTAGAATCCGGACAATTACGAAAAGTTCATAATTCGAATGAAATCAGTAACTCTACAATAGACAGAACAAAAAATTTTGGGTTGCTGAGCATTTTTGACGATTGAGGGAGCATGTAGTCATCCTTGGAGGAACTCCAAAGAGTTAAAAATTTGTTCACATAATACTTCAAGTAATTCTTTCATTATTTATCGACTGATAGAATATTTCATGCCGTTATGATCGAATATCCTTTCTAAGAGACATTTTCTTAATGATATTCCAATGATTCAATAGGTCGTTTAAAAAAAAAGAATCACCGAATGGTTTCATCAGATAGCTGAACGCTGCACTAAGTGATATCATTCAAAAAGAAAAACTAAATAAATAAAAATAAACAAAGTTTTTAGAGTAAAAACTTTTGAATTTTAAACATTCTGTTATACTGTTTGACAGGCATGTAAGAAGAATCAAGCTTTTACTTTATGATTTATAAGATCATCTTAGTCAGAAAATATATTGATTTTTTGCATACACAATTAGATGAAGTCTACAACAACAATTAGTGCAATGTCTCTTAGAAAGGACATTTAGCTTTTAACGGTTAAATATGTTTTTTTAATAGGACACACGTATGAATAAAACACAACAATTAAGTCAATATGAATCGCAATGTTGTACATATTTACCACTTAGTATGGAAACATTAAATATGCTTGAATATTTAAGTGCTAATGAACCTGGTCCATTTTGTTCAGCGGTAAACTGAATTCATCTACAAGAATGTTTCTAATATTGTTACTTTTTTAAAGGAATTAGTTGATCGACTAGCAGCTGTACTTGATTTTAATTTAAATGAATTATGTGGTCCCAATTCACGTTTACTTAAAGTTAAAGAACCAAGTAAATGCTGTTTTGATCCGAAACGACTATTAGAAAAAATTGTTGAACTTTATTGTAATCTGGTATAGAAAATTCTTAAATGTGAATTTTCAAAAAAAAAAACTTATTTTTGCTTTTTTTGTCTTTGAATAGGCACGTGATGAACGTTTTGCTGAAGCAATTACACGTGATGAAGTAAAGAATAAGATTTTTGAATGTATTTTATTTCTTTTTTTTTCTTTTAGCGTTCTTATCGACCAACTTTATTTACAACAGCTATTGAACGTATACAAAATCGTCATATAACAACATCGTCACGTCTTGAAATACTTTATAATTTAAGTCAACACGCTCAACGTATTGCAGAAGAAAAATCCAAAGAAGAAATGGATCTATCCGATGCACCTGATGATTTTCGTGGTAAATTAAATATTATTATTAATCCTTTGATGACGAGTTCTTTTTACATGCAAGAATTATGTTTTTTTTTCATGAAAGCCTTAGATATCGAACGTATATTTGTTAATAAATCTTGAGGAATCCTATATCATAATACAGATCTCATAAAATCTAGCACGTGGCCTAGTGAAGATAGATGATCGTATAAATCAGAATGCGCACAGCGGTTCGAAACGTATACATACATAGTAATCGCCAAAAGTCTTGCTGCTAGGTAAAAAATACCTAAACTTGAATCATTTAGTTATATAGTTTGACTATAGATAGAGCCTCTTAAAGTCTGATGACAAAGAGTATTCAAGACTTCATGGATCTTCATGTAGAGAAGCTAGATGCTTAATATTGATTTTTTTTCTTCAGATGAGAATATATCAATATAGAAAACGTATCTTATGATGTCAGAATGCTCATTCGATAGCCTCAACACTGCCAATATCATCAGTAAAAAGTTCTATATCAAATGGTTCTAGTTTGCTAGACATATGAAGTAATCTTTGGGTGATTTTCTTGTGAGAGTTGATAAAAATCATCAAAAAACGAGCGACGTTTTCGGCTAGTTTTGACCATTGGCCTTGAAATCATCTTCATTGAATGGTCTGCTCTAATCAAATCTTCCCTCAAAATTCTACGGCTGCAGCTGTTAAGGAAGAAGATACTCATGCTAAGGCAGTCTGAAACAATGGAGACTTCTCAGCTCCTCAAGAATACAGTAGATTAAAGTACCTTATCTGTGACACAATATAGACATATGAATATTGATTTCTTAATAAGAAAATGGAGATTATTGAATTTAAATAGTGGAAAATCAGAAAAGTGTTTAAAAAAAAAGGTTTTTTTCGGCTTCTAGAGGAAAAGCTTGTGTTTCCATTATAAATTCTTTATATAAAGACCTATCGACCTCGAGATGATGCACTTTTTACTCGGTAATAGGACTTTTTTTGGCTGCTACACATTTCATATGAGTCAAAGGATTAAAATATCTTCTTTTTTCTTTCTATTAAAAAAAATTCTTTTTCTGTTATCAGATCCATTAATGTGTACAGTTATGACTGATCCAGTCATTTTACCAAGTGGAGTTATTATGGATCGTTCAGTAATAATTAAACATTTGCTCAATTCAAATACAGATCCATTTAATCGTCTTCCATTAACCATTGAACAACTAGTACCTGGTAAACGATGAATTTGAATAAAATTTTTGAAAAATACATTTTTTCTATTTTTTTTGTAGCTGTGCAACTTAAAGAACAGATTGATAATTGGATACGCGATAAAAAAAGTCGAACAGTTTGAAAATATAAAATATATCTTTATTTGTTTGTTTGTTTGTTTTCTTTTTCCTGTTCGTTCATGTGCTATATATATTCCCAATGATCTTTCATTTTTATTTATTCAATTTATTGTGAAAGTTCAAAACAAGAAAAACGTGAAAAAACTTCTACCTGACATCTTCACCATTTTAAAGCCTTCTAGATAGAATAATATAAAAATAAAAGACGAGAATGGAGATGGAAGATGGTATACCACGTAGACAACCACTTTTCCGTACACAATCAGCTCAACAAGTTCATAAATTAATAAAAAAATCAACAAACAAAGAAACTCATTCAGTATCAAGTTATATAGCTAGTCGATCATGTGATGATTTAAATATAAATAAAAGTAAACCATTAGTTGATCTTGCTGTACCAGCATGTAATTCAACAATGAAAATTATTGATCAAATGGAAAATTTAAAATTTGAACAATTCGATCCTGTTTTAACAGCAACACATATTGATCATATAAATGAACAGGTAGAAATTGATACTATTTTTAATATTCAACGAATTTTTTTTCAATATATATATATATACATATATATAGGCAAATAAAAAATTAAATTATTCCAATGAACGAATATATAAAGGTTTAATTGATCTTGAACCAAACGCTGAAGAAATTATTGCTGCAGCTGAACAACAAGAATTACAAAAGCGAAAACAAGCAGCTAGATTTTTAGTAAATTATATTTATTTTGGTTTTTGTTTTCTTCCAAATATATGTCATTATTTTCTTTAGGAAGAATATCAAACTTTACAAAAGAAACGTATTAAACCAGATATTATGGAATTATTTGATGAAACAACAATGATTAAACAAACAACACGTATCAATTTAAAACCATTAAAACCCATTAAAATGAAACCGAAACAAGCTGCGATATATTCAATCAATAGTCTCAATCAAGCACAAACACTATGGAAAATATGATTCTTTTTTTTTTGCATATTGTCAGATTTTTCCTTTTTTTCTGTCTTGTATGGGCATCAGAATTTCCTTTTTTTTTGTTTCTATTCGAATAAGTATAGTAGTAATTTGTTTGAGAATGAAATATTATTGTTTTTGAAAAAAAAAACTAATAATACTTCAGATAGACTATCCAATGGGAACTAATGGTGATATTCCAACATTAATTGTAAGTTCTTGTATTTATGTGTATTGATTTATGTTAAATTTATCTACATATTAATGTAGGTACTTGTCTTGGGCGATTCCAGTAAGAGTTTTTTTTCGTTTGATTTGCATGATTTATATTAGTAATTGTAAATGACAGGTGTAGGCAAAACATCATTTGTTCATACCGTTTGTCATGATCAACCATTATCATCGCCACCACCTGTCACTGTTGGTTGTCATATTGAGATAAAGGTTCGATAAGTATTACTCTTTGTGATATAATTTCAATTATTTGATTAGAGTACAACATTTAGCTTTCAAATAAACAATGATTTTATTTGAAATTTTCAATTGTTTTTTAAATCAGCTATTTTTAATAAAATATTATAAATATATATATTCTTCACAACTAGGAAATACTGTAAATTGAATTGCAAGTAAGGCATCAGAAATGCGAAATTAAAGAAGAATCTTTTTTTGTCTGTTTTTTTTTTGTATATGGCTAAATAGACCATGGCTTGCTGCTCTAGAACATTAATGTATTCATTTTTTCAGAATAATTTTTCTAGTGAATAATTTCAGTAACCTTCCAATGACTACGTTTTATGACAAATAGATCAATTTATTGTAATCGACTAATTATTAATTTATTTTCTTTCCTACAAATTTTAAAACTATTTGTTATCGATTCAACATGAAACAATGAATCTAGAAAAGTCATTTATAAATGACTTTTCTAGATTCAACTGTTTACATTGAGTTGGACACAAATAGTTTTGAAACTTTTAGGAAAGGAAAAAAAAATTAACAACTAGTCGCTTACAAAAGAATGAATCTATTTCTCATAAAACGTAGGTAATCGAAAAAAAGTGAAATTTTTTACCGAAAAATTAATTCTAAAAAAAATGAAAACATTAGCATTCTGAATGAGCTTGTCACGCTCTATCTAACCAGATATGAAAAAGAAGAAAGTTATTATATGTAGCATTTCCAGCATCTTATAATTCAAAGAATAAAAAATAACTTTAACTACTTTGAGCACAACTCGAAATCAATCTAGTGCGGCACAATAATTGAAGTGATACAAATGTTAAGAAAAGTCCTTTGTCACAGTTACAGATGTGTAGGATAAACTTTTTCTCGTTTCTGTACCCTGACTGAGAAAAATTTGTTAACTCTTATTCAAACATATGTTGCACATCTCTAATCATAGTACATATTTTTAGCTAAATAGATTTAATAACCATGTTGCCACTAAATAAACCGTTTGAATGTCAATTCTATGAATTTGAATGAATACTTTTCTATTGTAGAATGTTACGATTCACTCTTTCAAGTATTTTTAAAAAACCAAATAAAATTCTTTGCGCATGATAATTAACTTGATAATTGTTTTTTTTTGTCTAATCGAAATTAAATTTAATAATTTTGTTTGTCTAGTTGTATGAACGACGTGATCGACATCAAAATCCAAATCTGTTTTTTATTGAATTTCATGATGTTGGTGGAAGTGTACAACATAAAAATAGTCGATCATCAATGTTTTATGATGACTTTAATGGTAAAAAGAAAAACAAGGATATTTTTTATTTCTCATTTATTCTTGGAATGTTACAGGGATTATACTTGTATCTGATTTGACGAGTCGGCCATCGTATGATAATCTTAAAGAATGGCTTGATGAAGTTATTCGTTATCGATCACAACAAAAACTGTAACATAAAAACTTATCTATATTTTTATTTTGTTAGTTTAAACCTTTTTTGCTAGTCCGACAGAGTTTACATCAGAAGCATTAAAAAATTTCGATATACCACTTCTATTAGTTCATACAAAATTTGAAGAATCTAAAGCAACATCATTATTAAATAATAGTAAATCACCAAATAATATTAATAATCATTCATTTTCATCAAGTAGTTTATTACCAAATTACAATCGGAAATCGGTACTAGCTAATTTACTTAATTGTGATGAAATATTTATTGTAAAAGAAAACTCTCTTTTTTCTCTAAAATAACAGATTATTATCTGTCTGTTTTATAGGATTGTTATTCAAAAAAACAGTTTTCAAATGATACACCTAATGTTGCCAAATTAAATTCATTTTTTGAGAAAGTATGTATCCTTTAAATTATTCTTTCAAAAAATGAAAAAAATTATTTTCTTTTTCTCGTAGATGATTAAAAAAGCGTCAGTAGAACCAGTAGAACAAGTAATTCAAGAAAAACAAGCATTTTTCTCAACTCTAAATTTTTTTTATTTTAGCTTCCACAGTTTGATTGGTTGGCTTCAGAAAATCATTATATCCATTAATAGGCATATATTTTTTCAATTTATTTTTGTTTATGTAATTATCATCATTGCCAAGAGAAACAAATAAATCTATATTAATATATCGACGGTGCGAATTCAATCCGTCGATTTTTGTTAGGATAGTATTTAAAAATAAATAAATAAAAATTACAAAACCTATCTTCACAATTTAAGAGAAAACTGTGAGCAAGATTAAAATATAAAGTATAATGAAGTTATGCTCACAATGGCATTTTTTTTCTTTTGTGATAAAAAAAAAGGGCTGAAGTTCGACTTTTTTTCTCGATAAACTCTCAAAGAGAAAATTGTCACATTTATAAAATTCATTCATATATTGAGATTTATCATCGTTTGTGGACGGTGCATAACTAAAGCCTGTCGGATTCGATATGTTTGGACCCAGATCCAGTCGAATTGTGCTTTGATAGTCTCAACGAAATGTTCTAATCGGATAGAATAATCGCCAGAAAATATGAGATATTTTGTTTAGTTGTTTTTTCATCGATGACTAGTGCAACCTGCACATTTCTCATATCACTCGAATCCCTCCTTTACCAATATTTTTGAAATGGAAACAATCTGAGAGACTCTGTGTACAAGATCAAATCTATTGCCATAAAATATATGTATAGACATATGTGTAGTATATATATATCAATCATTTGTTCGCTAATAAAACATTTCATGAGACATTTTTTTGTTTTTCAGAAGACTTATAGTCAAATATTGACAGTTAGATATAAACTAAAGATTTCCACTAACTACTCATAACTTAAATATAAGATCTAGCTCACAATGCTCTTTCAATTAAATTGAAAAATCTACCTGTCCTTTATTTTGATCAGGATAGTTAGTTTTTTATAGTTTTGTGTATTCTCTGAATTTTTCGTCTTAACTATTTTAATATGATCTCATATCTATGATTCATCACATTATAACTTCCTAATTCTTGAATAAGTTCTATATAGTTAGTTTTTATCCATTTATGAATCGAAACATGCCAAGTACAAGAGGATCACGTTAGCGGCCATCTTTCATAATACACTAAAGTTCTTTCAATGTTCGTAAATCATATGAAACACAGATCTATTTTCATGATGAATAAATATACTTCTTCCTGGAATGATTTAATGAAAAATTTTCGTACAAACATCAACCTAGCTTATATTAAGAAAGAAAGGATATGTTGAAAACGCTAGTTGTCACTATATAGTACTCCTTAGATTTAGTTCTAGGTAGTATTCAGACCTTTCCAGCTTAGTTTTCCGAGAATAGATTTTTGACTTCGATTATGGTTGTGTAAATAAACTATTTGAATTAGCAGTGAAGATACTTAGAGAATATACCAAATCAGAAATGAACCAAGAAAATTATATGTGATGAAGCAGAAGTATAATAAATATTTCGATAGTACTAATGACAATTTCACTCTAAAACAATGTTTTTGATACTGAGTCTTTTCTAAGTCCAGCAGCAGCTTCGAAATCTAAAGTAGTTTTTTCTAAGGACACACCAATGAAACCTTTGCGAGAAATCTTTTTAAGATCCGTAAGATGCAAAAAGATTCGATATACAAAAATATAAAGTCATTCGTGTTCAATAAAACTCCTTTAGGAATTAGGATGCATCCTATGAGACTTAGCATCGAACCAGAATGACTTTGTATTTTTATATACACCGAACCTTTTTTGCATCTTACGGATCTTAAAAATGTTTCTCGCAAAGGTTTCATTTGTATGTCCTTAGAAAAAAATACTTTAAATTTCGGAGCTGCTGGCGAATTTAGAAAAGACACAGTATCAAAAACATTTTTTAGAGTGTAGCATGGCATTAAAATGTCTACGAACTAAAATAATTATAACGGTACCAAACGGGCACGAAAATTGAGTTTTTTGGTAAGCATTGTTTTATCATGTTTAAAACCATTTTCACAGCCAAAAGGAGTCATTTTAATGATTCTCATGAACAGCATCTTTTTTTTTGGATCTTTTTTTGTGACAGTTTCGCATCGTTATAATTATGTAAATTTCGAGGCATTTTAATGCCATTACACCATTATTTTTTCTGTCTGGGAGCTCGTCGAGATCTATGTGGAAGCATCATTCATTACATTGGAATCGGTCCAGGAGCGAATCAGGAACGATATTTCTCAAATTTTTGTGTTTATCAGGTGTTTTTTAGCAGTATTTTGCGTTTTTTTTCGGCTAAGGAGGTCTATGGAAAAGAGTGACCTGTTGAATCGATAGAGCTCGTCAAATTCTACTTGGAACCAGGATGAATGTTATTGAAATCTGTCCAGGAGCGAATCGGGAAAGGAAAAACTCGAATTAAGTGTAGTCATTGTGTTATTAAACTTGTTAAAGCTAGGTATGAGCGGATTGTACTGGATAATGAAAGTAATTCATCAATAGGTTAGATTGAAATATATTTAATAGAAAAATCAATGGTAAATTTAGTTTTTGTGTACTCAAAAAGTGAGTACACTCTAGAATCGGTCAGTGTCCGGCCGGCCGTTAACACGATAGCTTTCGAAAGGAGAGTCAGATTGCGATGAAATTTTCTACACAGCTTAGTCTTGACAATATCTCGGTCGAGTTCGAAGATGAGAAGGATCCGTCAACAAATGGCTGAGTTATCGAAAAAATTGTGATTTTTGACTAGACCATCCCTGAGGGGGGGTACGGGGATTTTTCAAAAAAAAATTTTTTGCTCATGATTATTCACAAAATACATAAATCGACTCAGTTTTTAATGCTGATTCTGAATCTGATATTAGTTTTGAACCGAATTATAGTTTTGTGTACTCAAAAAGTGAGTACACTATAGAATAGTCAGTGTGTCCGTCCGTCCGGTTGGCTGTTTACATGATAACTTTTGACAGCAGAGTCAGATTGCGATGAAACTTTCTACACAGCTTAGTCTTGACAATATCTCGGTCGAGTTCGAAGATGAGAAGGACCGGCCGAGCCGTTCCTGAATTATTGCAAAAATACCCATTTTTCCCTACAGCTTTCTGTGGAAAAATGGACCCATCGCGACTTTCGTAAAAGACTTTTCCTATCATAGTCAATTAAAACCCCAACTATTATATACCATTCGATAGAGAATTTCAAGAACTACAAAATGATATATAAAACATAAAGAAACAAGAAGGTTGACTTACCTATGACAAGGATAATTAAAGAGAACTAGGTTATATTTTGGTCCACGATCTAATGGATCCACAAATAGAGCTTTATCTTCCGGTCACACTGATGATACTTCGAGGTTTTCAGATATGGAGAACTCGAATGTGTACTGCACTTCCATCGAAATACTATTAGTTGTGTAGTGACCAATAGAAATGAAGTTATAGGAAAAATGACTTTCTTTGGGTAAATCAAGGGAAAGAGTTCAAACTTGAGCTGTATTCGATCCCATGTCCTATTGGTTTGGCAACGCACAATAGAAATCAACATTTTAAATGGTAGATTTCACAGTTTTTGATATTCAAACAGTCTAGGATGATTGATTTGTATGATTCACTTTTTGAAGTACATATAACTCTCGGATTTAAATCCGAAGTTTCCGCATTTATTTAGAATGTTTAAAACGAGTTGAACAAATTGCTGGATGTGAAATAATTAATTATAAAATAGATTGTCTTGATATAGAAAATTTACGAAATATTTAAAAAAAAACATTCAATTTAGTTAGTAATCTTGGGAGAGTAGAGATCGCTCAAAGATGACGCAATCTTAGAAAATTTTTTCAGTGCAGCGCTATAAATAATTACTGTGTTATAGTATTGGTTGGATTGATTGAACTAACAATTACTTTTTCTCATGTTTTACGTTACGTTAAGTATATTTGTGAACATATTTTTATTTTTTTTTTTTATTTGCAATAACATATAACCGATCAGATCCTATCAGTACAGCATTTAAAGAAAAGGAATACAAGGTTAACGTTAATAACTAATACATATGTTAGAAAGTAAGTTTGAAACAAACGACGTGATTACACAGATTTTAACACACACAAAAAAAAATGTATATTCTAATTCTTGGATCCTTCCTTTTAATTTTCTCACACACTACAGATACAGTACATCTTTCTCTCCTTACAAATTATTAATAGAATACAGTCAGAAGACGCTCATTTACTCAAAAGGTCTCAGGAAAGGAAGCAAGTAAGGAAATCTCGTTCATATCATAGCAGGGAATTGACTCAATGGAGATATTGTCACTACACCACGAAACACATTTTTCCAAGACCGAAACATAATCTACAAGCCGTTTAGACATTCGCGGCCCTCTTATACTCATCTCACTATCCCTCCACATAGTTCTATATGAATTTAAATTCGCCTGTTCGAGAAGTAACCTTTCATCGATTGACTCTGACAAGGCAAAAAGGTATCTCTCCCAATAGGCTGCGCATCTATCCTCTAATGATTTTTCATTGAATACAAACGCATAAAACAGATCATCCCATTCTAAATGAAATGATATACGTTTTAAACATGTAAAATAAAAATGCGATAGATCGTTTGTGAACATATTCTTAGGCCTAAATCACACTGAAAAAGATAAAACAAAATGACCGACGTGATTGGTCTATTCCAACTTAAATCATCTTTTTGAGATGACTTATTTGTTAATTCTGTTTTAATTCACTTTGAATTAGTCGGTGTGATTCAGGCCTTAAAGATAAGGTTATTGGTCATCGCGTTGGTATATGATTTTTTTTCAAATTGAATCAATTTTTCATTATTTTTTTTGCAGGAATGATATATTATTTTGTTACGTTATTTTAATCCAATTGATGCTCACGAATCAAGTCTTATTGGTGAAGATCATGTTGGTACACCAAATAATCTTTTGCCTTATATTGTTCAAGTTGCTATTGGGAGATTATCATATGTTAATATCTTTGGTACTAATTATGATACTCCAGATGGAACAGGCAAAAAGAGATACTTTTAAAGTGACAGTTAGATAGTATTGAATTCATGTAGGTATTCGAGATTATAGCCATGTTGTTCATGCAGTTATATGACATTCTGCAGCAATGAAAAAATATTATTTCATATTTTATTCATTCTTTTCTTTTATTTAGATTTATACGCTTGATACTCGTACAGGTTATTCTGTATTAGAGATGATGATAAAAGCATTAGAAAAAGCATCAGGTAAAGCAATTCCTTATAAAGAATGTCTTCGACGTCCAGGTAACCTTGCAATTGTTTATGCTGATTTATCATTAGCATTTAAAGAACTTGGATGGACAGCTCAACGAGATTTAGATGAAATCTGTCAGATTTTGTTTTGATTATAAATTGAACATTGTATTTATTATAGATAAAGGTTTATGACGATGGGAATCAAACAATCCAAATGGATTTAAATAGAATCTCATATAAATGGAATTGATCTGTGTTATTTTTCTCCTATCGACATATGTAGTCATGCTTTAGATCTAATGATTTTTTGTTGAATTTCAGATGCATAATATTTACATTCAAGAACCAACTACTTGTGGAAAAGTTGTTTTGGATACCACAGTTGGTGATATTGAAATTGTAAGATTATTTAATAATTAAAACTAAAATATTGATAAGATTTTATATGATTAGGAACTTTTTTCTAAAGAATGTCCATTAGCATGTCGAAATTTTCTTCAATTATGTGTGGATGGTTATTATGATGGTACTTTTTTTCATCGTGTTGTACCAAATTTTATTGTACAAGGTGGTCATTCAACTGGTACAGGTGAAGGAGGTGAATCAGCAACCGGTGAATTCTTTCCAGTTAGTATCAATTTAGAGTTATTTTCATTTAATTTTTCTTTAAATTTAGGATGAAGTTCATACACAATTACGTTTTAATCGTCGTGGTCTTGTTGGAATAGTTAATCAAGGACCAAATACAAATGCTAGTCAATTCTTTTTTACATTGGGTCCTACTCCGGAACTTGATAAGAAGAATACATTATTCGGAAAAATTGTAGGCAATACTTTATTTAATATGCTAAAATTAGGTGAAGGGGAATTTATTAATGAAACACCAGTACATAAACAAAAAATAATTAAAACAAAGGTTAAATAATTAAATAAAAAATGATCGATTTTAAAAGATTTTATTGTATAGATTATATCAAATCCATTTGATAATATGATACCTCGATCTCGGCCTAAACCACAAATTATTGATAAGGATGAAGAGAATAAAAAATCAAAATCAACTCTTTCTGCTAAAGCAATAAAGTAATTTTTTATTAAGAAACACAAAAAAAAATAATAAATTCTTTCTTTTGATTAGAAATTATGGTCTTTCATTTGAAACTGAAGATGAAGAAGAAATAACAAAAATTTCAATGAAATTTAAAGAAAAAGGAACTCGAAAAAGTGCAAATAATTTAACATTGAGTAAAAGTACAGTTCGATTCGATGAAGATGATGAACAAAGTGATAAAGAATTACCAATTAAAAAACAAACTTTAAAAGCAAAAGAAAAAAATGATGAAGATTTTGATAAAGAAGGCCTTGACCCTATACAACAAAGATTTAATGAAAAAAAATTAGCAAAACAAAAAAAGAAAAAACAAGTTGTTCTTGATGCAGATGATGATGATAATCAACAAGAGATTTCATCATCAAAATTGTAAATATGAAAAAAACAAATATAACTTGATTGATTTTTATGTTTTACTTTAGCAATGAAAATGTTAAACTTAAAATTGAACGATTAGAAAAACAATTAAAAAAATTGAAAAAATCATCAATACGTATTAAATCATCAGAAGATATTGTTCAAGAAGGAACAGAATGTAAATGATTTCAGTTAAATCTAATTGATAAATGTATTCCATGATTTTAATTTAGCTGCACCTCATCGAATTCATTCAATTACTACAGATAGTTTTGTTTTAATGGATGAATTAATGACAGGTACAACACGATGGAATAAAAAAACTCATAGTACTCATTTGAGTTCAAGAGAATCTCAAGTTTGTTCATTAATAAAATATTCTGATTTTATTCTTTTTTGCTTCTAGACACTTGATCTTAACATGTCTCATAGTAAACGAACTCGATCACCATCACCTGTACCACCGGAAACACCACGATATAATTTAAGGTCAAAGAAAAGAGCTGGAGAACCTACTGATCATTCTACTGAAGAGTCAATTTACGTGAAAATTGATGAAGATACCCTGATCAGTGTTACAGGTCAGTAACATTAAAAGGACACTGTGGAATTTGATCATAAATCTGCCACTTCCAGATTTTACTGTCAATAGGATAGAAAGATAGAGCATGAGATTTACACATTGCTCTCTATTTATTTTGTTTTTATGTTGAAGGTAAAACAAAATTTTCGACGACTAAATAGTCTTAGGGATCTATCACTTTTGGACATTTCGAATAATAACTATGGTGCCCATAATTTTTTCTCTTATAAATTCAATATGGAAAATAATAGTGTAGATCGATGCAGTTTTTTATGCTCTACAAAATGATATGGTGATCATATTTACCATTAACTTCTCTCTTCGATTGTGTAGGAACATACAAATACGATTTTCATATTACAGACGAATTTTCATACTTTTGTAGGGCGCTGTTGTATTTTAAAACTCAAATTAGACATAGAAATCTTAATGATCAAAAACTGGGCTACCACACGCTTTATCATTTTATATCGTTTCCAGAAAAATCTATTCCGCTCTAAGACTCATTTCTATCGAAACAATGTAAGAAAGTGACTATTTGGAGAGTATTTTTCGATCATTTTCATATTGAATCTTAATCTAATTTTAACTTAAGAGAAAAATGAATTCCTAAGACTACTTAGTCGTCGAAAATTTTCTTTTACCTTCAACATAAAAACAAAATAAATAGAGAGAAATGTGTAAAATTGCATGCTCTATCTTTCTATCCTATTGACAGTAAAATCTGGGAGTGGCAGATTTATGATCAAATCCTGTGGTGTCCTTTATTAGAATAGAATATCCTTTATTTGATGATTTATTCTAGATTTAATTCATTTGTTTGATGAACTGATCGAATACAAGAATGTGAAACCGAGACAAGATCGTTCTCAAGATATTCAAAATCAAATCAACAAAATTGATAAAATTATTGAACAATATTTTTTAAAATTACCATCATTAACAACTGCTGAAGAAAAACAATTACTCATTTCGAACGTCGAAACTAATCTAAAAGTTCGAAAAAAACAGTTTTATTATGTTATTCTATATTATATGATTAACAAACATTGGCCGTACATCAAAAAGCAAGCACCATCTCTACGTGACCTTGGTACTTTTTTCAAATTATTAGAATTTCTTATTGACAAGCAAATATTAAAACAATTTGATGAAAATTTTGATGAAAGTGAGTGAGAAATATTTCTCTAATGAGGTATACAAAGTGTGATTCATTCTTTTTTTAATTATATTTACGTTTATTGTTCTCCGTAGGGTTAGCAGTCTATGATACAATATAAAAAGTGATTACAAAGGAGATAAAGAATTTATTTAGCTGCTTTTTAGTTCAATTACATTTAGCAGTCATCTTTTCCTCAGGACGTACTAGATGAATAAGAGTGGAGAGAGAATATAGATAGATATATGTAGCCAAGATAGAAAAAGAAAATAAAAATAAAAATAAAATACAAAAAAAAAAAACAAAAATTCAAGTATGCATGCCGAGTTGAATAAATAGAATTTAGTCAGTTTTGATTTTGTGTACTTTAAGATTTGAAATATTAAATTATGGAGGGTATAGATACTTAAATACAAATCTTTCAATAACAGATGATGATTTTTTATAAATTTGATATTGTCTTTCGTGTATATTGAAAAATGTGAAGAGATCTAAATTCACATGATGTGCCCTTGCTGCCAACCTATTGGGAAATATACTATTTTTTCTGAAACTCATAGACTTATAATGAATACGACTCGGAGATGTTGCAATTAGATAGCTCTCCCAAGTCTGTTGAAATTCAAGTGCTTCATGAGCTGTATCCAAGTGTTTTTTCAATCTTAATCAATATGTATATAGATAGTCCATAAGAGTTTTTTCTCTCGAGAGTACAAATAAAGTGTGATTCATTTCTTTGTTTTATTTCAGATGATGTTTTTATATCATATCTTATTACAGGTGTTGCTTATCTCGTTGTTGCAAATGATCCATGTTGCTCTGTTGAAAGCGTCGAAGACTTTACTGTAGTTCTCTCCCATGGATTTAGACTTGTTGACACATCTAATCAAGCATTTATTTATTTTTTTACATTATTACAAACAATTTTATCAACTCCATTTATTGTCCAATTGTGTTGTGAATTAATTAATGATGAAGAAGATGTTTCACGACAAACAATTGAACAATCATTACAAGATAATATCTCAAAACTAAAAATTCATTTGTATCTTGCCGATCTTTCTGATTATTATTGTGCATTAACTCTATATGATGGAAAGTTACTGTTAAATGGTTCTGAACGTGGTTTATTCAAAGCGATTGACGAGATGATTAGGTAAAACTTCCGGTATTTTCAAAAATGAAATAGAAAAATTATTTGTTTCAGATTCAATTGGGAATTGAATTCAAATGATGATTTAATGATTAAAAGATGGGCAGCACTTTTGATCGTTATTATTCATGAAATTGCACATAGTAATTAAGGCTTAAGATTGATCCAGAGTTGCCACCTCTTCTGCTTTTTGAAGTTTTTTCTATTTTTTTTCTGTCGTTTCTGCTTTTTTTAAATACTGCATAATTTATAATTTTAATCAACATTTTTCATCTCGAAGATGTTTATTTCTATAACTATATAAAAACTGTATCAAGAACTACTGATGTTTGTGTTCTATTCTAATGCTTTCTATTTTATACAAGGGATTTTTATTTTATACGGACTACAAACAAATAAGAATGAATAGTTTTGCTTCTTAATCAATTTTTTACCTATAGTTTTCTTTTGTATTTTTTAATATTCATTTAATTTATATACATTCTCTTGTTTACTTACCCGATGGAACATAAAGAATTAATATGACTTCTGAGAATAAAGGAACAGAGAAAAACTGGTTCCATATGATAATGACAGCATAACTAGTAAAGAAGATATTCATGAAGTAGTTGTAGTTGCTGAACAAACAAATATGCCATAAAGAGTTAGACCCGAAAAAAAAGAAATCTTATAGAAGTGTCTTAAACAGAGAATGACTCAAAGTCATCGAATATTAATGATTTTTAAAAGAATGTAAAATAAACCCATCTCAGTCAACGTTAATTGTTGGTCATCAATATTTTTTCGAGCACCCCAATAAAAAACTAATATTGATAATGTTATGAACACTCAGAAGCATAAAAAGTTATGAAATCTTATGATTTAATCAACGATTAGTTGGAATTTCTCCTCTTCATATACTAAAATGGATGCATACTAATTAGACAAGCAAAATTTATGGAAAATTATTAAATCAGATGAAGAACATACTTTAAAAAGAAAGCATCTTGAACGATTCTGTTTATTTGTTAGTTGGTTATTTTTTCTGATGCTATGAAATGAAGACCAAAATTCGATATGAAAATTGTCAATTAGAACAGTAAAACAAAAATTTAAAACCAGTTTCATATCGTAAACATAGTTTCTGCTTTTTTCTGTTTTTCGGTGATAAAATTTCTGTTATTTTCTGCTATTTTAAAACTGTTTTCTGCTTTTCGGACTTCAAAAGGTGGCAACACTGGGTTAATCTAATGTCAAAATCTTCAACATATTCTCTAAAACCCTTTATCCGTTTTAGGTCTTCGAAGAACAATCATTCCAAAAGCACGAAACTTGATACTAGCTCAAAAACCACCAAAAGGTATTGATGATAGTACTGGTGAAGCTAGATTTTGTTTGGAAACATCACTTTTTGGAGATAAAGTTCACTCAATTGGTTTACAGGATGGTGAATATTTATTGAATGCGGCCAATTGGAATGTTGTTAATGTTGAACGTTTCCAACATAAATTCAAACAAGCAATGGTGAAAGACAAAAAGCATTCCAATCAAGGTCGTCTCAAGTTACCATCCCGATGTATTGAAGGATCCGGTCATGATACTCGTATTCGAATTGGTGATTGTGGAACATCACAATACGCAATTCATCTCAATAACTAAAACTAATATAACTAGTCTTCATTAAATTGATAAAAGTACATAGTCATATTGAATTTTCAACTTTTTTACTTTTTTTTCCTTTTTTTATTGAATTCTGGAACTCAGCAAATTAGAAGAATTGCATTTTCAATGATATTCTTAAAGTGAATAATCAAAGTCATCAATTGAATTCAGTACAGCGGATATATCGATAAGAGTTATCTCATTACTTCTATTATTCATCAAATTCATGGAACAACATTCGATTGAAATGTGCATTTCATCATTGAATTTTTCTCGTCTTCAACTATTTCAATTTGAAAGTCATATTTTTCTAATTTTCACTATCAGAAAAATGCTTCAGATCTTCCGAACTCTGATTAGCCTGTTTTAATGTAATTCATATTTAGAGTGAGACAAATATCTAAGTCATAACAGGGAGGATGAACCGAATTCAGTGATCGACAGTGTGGGAATGATATCTTATACGTGAATTATTTGTATCAAGGGAAAACAATATCACATAAGCACATGGAGATAGGAATTGAAACTGGTTGAGTGGGTCTTTGATTGAGAGTTCAAACGACTTTTTTATGAATATTCTGCAATACGAAAATGAGTTTTTATTCCATTTGTTCAATAGTTAGGCTTTTAGAAATGACAAGATGTTCACTTTTACAAAAGAAAAATCAATTAAAACAAAAAGATAGACAAAAATTTGTTCAAAAATATAAAAATTTTATTCAACAAGCAAAATTATTTTATTTTCAATTTATTTATCTAATCAGATATATTTAGTTAATTGTTAATTTAAAAATCATTGAAATTAAACTTGAACTTGGTAAACATTCATCAACGAGACCAGTTGTCGCTGTTTGTTTATCAAATGCCAAAATTAGTCAACAGTTATTCTCGTATCTTCACCTGTTCAAGTTGAATTAGCATTATTTAATGATGATTTGCCTGAGGGTGTGAATGTGAGTGTGGATGGGTGTGCGTGTATTGGTGTGAGTGTGGGGCGTAGGTGTGGGTGTCGTTGTAATTAAGGAAATCCCAGTCACACGCGCACTTGCATGCAAACCAACACCCACACCCCCACACTGGCACCTACAGCCATAGCCACACCCCACATCCCATACCCTAAGATAATTTGTTGAATAATTGCATTTTTAACCTCGAATAACTCGATTATTTAAATGACGTCTATAGAAATAGTATTGAAATCTATGATGACGGTCTTTTCTTTTTTTTATTTATTTTTATATGACAATCATATTTTGATTCAAGTTATATAGTATATGAGCAAAATTGAGTTTGTCGAACATTAATACCAAGTTCACTTTGTTCTTGAAGTAAGTATTCACGAAATCCTATTACATACAGTAAGATTGGTGACCTTCATCAACTAATGGAAGATTATGAAAAGGCACTTTTGCTTCATCGAATAGTGTTAAATATTGAAGAAAATGTTCAATGTAATCCTCTGCAATGTGCTACGACTTATATGAATTTAGGGGAGACATTGTAAAGTGAAAGATTAATCAAGGAAACTGACATACTTTCAAAAAGGATTAGAAATACACGAAAAGAAATTACCAAAAAGTCATCCTGACTTAACTGTAACTTATCAGGATCTGTCTAAATTATATTTATCTGCTGGACAATATAATATGGGGTGCGAATGAAATGAAGAGGAGTTTCACACCTTATTTTGGTATTTTGAACAGAGCTTCTTTCTTTTTCGTATCTTTCGAAGCGTACTAGTGTTCATATGACTTGTTCATACTTGTTCTTTATCCATTTTCTATTTAATTCTTATTACATTTCTCAAGAGCCTCTTTTGCGGTTTGATAAACTCCAAAATATTCGTAGTGACTATTTTCAAAATTTAGAACTTGATCACTCCGTCCTTTTTTGTACATAATTCATTGAATTCCTACATCAATCAATCCAGAAAATAAAACGGAAACAATCAATCAACTGGCTGAATGTTCCTAACTTACAAGAATAGATCTTGAGAAAAAAAAGTTTTTTCTTTCTATTGATATTTAACTAAATCAATTTTGGTTAAGTATCATGATGACCAGTTTATCTTCAATATCTTTTTCAATCTTCATGAAACTCTTTCAATACTATTCTTGAGTTGTTCTAGCAAGTAAACGCTGAAAGCAAAATAGAAACAGAAGTTTTATTTATCTATTGCACTCAAAAGTGAATAGCCTTGATCAAGATACTTATATTACTACTTCAACTGAAGAATGATGATATATAATAGAATTATAGGATCCTATCTGGTTTTCGTTAGATGGCATAGCATAATCTTTAGTATATGAAAAAGAATTTGGATAAATTTATCGATCTGTTTAGTGTTTTCTTGGAAATGCAATAACAGTATGTCATTGTCGATTCTTTCAAAAGTATCGAACTATCCATTTAGCAAGGTATAGTATCTACTTAGCTTTATTGTTACTATATTATATTATTCAAGCTTTGAAGAAGGCTAATTTTAGTTTAACAATGGCATCTGCAGAAAATCTTTTTTTTGTAGGAAACTATTACACCTGAAATCAAAAAAGACTGAAACAATTATAAGAGTTTCTTAAAAAAAAGATTGGCTTTTTTGATACGTGAATAAGACAATACAAGAACATTTATCTGTTGCATTATCTGAATCTTCATTGTCGAAACAATCGCACTAGAAAAGGATAACTTTCGATATCTATTTCGAAACTTATTAAAGATTCGAAAATCTTTGTGTCATTTCGAGACATAGATCGAATGAATTTTTAGCAGGTCGCTATTTTCTAGAACATCACGATACAAAGCATGCAGACCGAATGCGTATGCAATCGACTACATAAATGCTCTGCATCGCACCGCATTAATAGCTATATACACTTTTTTCACAAGTTTTTTCTTGCAACAAACAACTCTACCACAAACTTTTATGCGATATTGACAAATAGATGACTCTTGAAATAACAATCCTCAAATTATTTCCCTTATTTATTTGTCTTTCATAGTTTCTGTTAAGACTATGTTTGAAAAAGAAAACAAGTGGAAAAGATTGTAGATACCAAGACTTTAAAAAGTTTCAAAGGAATCGAAAAACTTCAGAAGTTTGAAAAAGCTTCTAATTCACCTAAAGTGACTCTGACATCTCTATTGCTATCTGGTATTCATGGGTAACGATAATATTAAGTTAAATATCTCTCTTTTCAAAACTATGCTCATCAATATTTTGTTCACTAGGATTTTTTAAGGCAATATGGAACGTTTGAAAATATGCCACTCACACTGTCGACATTTATAATGAAAAAACATTACATAAAGGATGTGTAATAAGTTTTGATGCCTTTTAAGTAATATTCGCTTCTTCCATGATTTTTCTATTAGAATAACCTGATATTCGCAGCATATCTACTAGACATTTAGATCTACTCTACACTAGAATTTCAGCTTGCTATCTATTCTAATCATAGAGATACAAGTTATTTAAAGTTCATAGGATTTTTTCGAAATAATGGGAGGGTAGCTAAAATTAAAGGATTACGTTTTGGATTTTATTTTCTGCTCATCTAATGCGTTATATTAGAAAAACAGACGACAGTACAAAATGTAGCATAAAAAGCTCTACAATCTTGATAATGAAGCTTATTTTAACTGTATGCGTTTTGTTTTCAAAATATGGAAAATTGGTCGTCTCTTTTTTTTTGAAAAAACAGAGATACACAATTAAAATAAGCTTCATTATGGAAGTTGTAGAGCTTTTCATGATGCATCTTGTGCTATACTCTGTTTTTCAATATAACGCATTAGATGATGAGAAAATAAAATCCAAAGTAGAATATCACTTGAAGAGAATCAGAACTTGTTACATACTCTTTATAATGTTACTAAAAAATTTCATTCGAACTTAAACATTAAATCTCACAAAAACAAATAATGAGATCTGTTAGAATAATATTAAATAACAAAGATGAACTTGTTTAATTAATTCAGTCATATAAAATATATATATTTATAAATTTAATATAATGATGTAATCTTTCAAATCAAGATAAAGAATTATCTTATGAAAAAAGTACAATAGCTCATTTTTTATGCCAACATCATCTCATCACCAGATTATTCATGACATATGTTCTAGAGACTGGCAGTATACTAATTGTACATATATATGAAGAGTTTAATCAACAAGAGAAATTTACATCAGAATGAATTTCTATTTGGATTTATATCTAATTGGTTATTAATCAGATGGGTGACAATTCTCTATATTTAAAATAAAACCTTTCATAAATTAAACTGAAAACAACATAATTAGTGTAATGATAGCATGAAAAGTTTAAAATTATCTGTCATTTGTAAAATCCTACATCACAAGAAGAATTATTTATCTTAATTAAAATATCAAGACATATGTCTTCTGTCTTGTTCGCCTTGGCATGCAATTTACTACGATGTAACGAAAATTTTTATACGAGTTACCATATTAATAAATGTCACACTTCGATACGGAATAAATCTCATGAAATAGTAAGAACATATTGAATTCAAGACAATGAGGATACTAGTATTTTCAAATTTTATTGAATAACGTCTTTGCAATAGACGTTCGTAATTAATAAAAAGCAACTGATTAAGAACGATTTGTTTTAATTTTTTCATGAATAATCAATAGTTTAGTTCATAGATAACTCAATAAAGTAATAAAAAATGAACAAGTCATTTAAGTACTCAGTAATATTGACACTTGATTATTCCAAAGTGATAAATAATCGAAAAGATAAATTAAGAGAAAAAAAATACTTTCACAATTTTCATTCTCTTAAACTAGAATTATATTTCACGCTAAATAATGACATGAAGTTTTTCTACTTGTATTATAGGTATAAGAATCAGATTATTTTCTTCATTTTTTTCTTCTATTTATATTCTATCGAGAGTCCAATTAATCTTTTTGTCATGTCTTATCAAATCACCAAATATCGTCAACAAAAAGTGAATTTCACCACTGA